AGTTCCCAATCTACCTTTTGTCCACTACTCAAATCTGCAATGAATTTATCTTCAGGAAGTGCTGCCTGTTACCTGTTTTATCTATTATTGGCCAAAGCCAAGGTGTAAATGATATCAGCTCTTAATTTAAGTTAAAATTATACCAGATTGAAGATGAAAAATAGTCTTTAAAAATCATAACATTGTAATACCTATCTGGGCAACCTGAAGCTTATAAGTTAACTCCTCTCTTTGTTAAGAGCAGTGAGGATAGTTCCTGAGATAGTTGAGGAAAACAAAGATCATCCTAATGCCTCCTCTAGTTTTCCACTGCGATTGATATAAAAAGCAATCTATACCAACACATCAGTTGTGGTTGACCAGCTCGATACAAAAGCAAAGAAGCAACCATCCTGATAAGAACTGTGGAAAATTTAGATAAGGATGCAGATGTGTCTGTGTATCTTGTCTTCCACCCCAGTAGTCATAACCCCTAAGGAGTAAGTAAGTTGGAAAAATTGGCTGGTAACTCAAAGTGCCCCCTTCCTGTTCCAGCCCTGTCTAAATATATAGTTTCAATGTTTTTACATGGATCAAAACTCTCCCATTTCCTCCAAGTGGCCTACTCCAACTCCACTTTGGTGATTTTGCTGATGGAATTCTCACCTGTATTAGGTTGCAATCCTGTATAGAAGTCATAAAGGACTCCTCTAGACTGGTATTGGGTAATATTGTCAAATGCAAGTGGCAGATGACCTATTCCTTGAGACTTTATTGTTAAATTTTAATAATCTTTTATCCAGACTGAACTGTTCATCTTTTGAGAGTACCTTCAAGGGCCAAATATCCTTGTGGACCTAGACAGCTGATCATAAGCAAGGAGATCCCACTCGGCCCACCTACTTATTTTAACACAATCAAACAGGAATTCCTTGTTTTCTGGATTGTGCCCATGTTGGTATACATTTTTTTTAAAATGATAATAGTCATCATATCAAATTAGGTATACCTCAGGGTGAGATAAGCTATTTGGAGATTCCATTATTCAAGGTAGTTTCCTACTCCCTCCACTCTGAAGTATGATATTAATCATTTCCTTTAGCATCATGTGTCTGTGTACATGTATATATATATCAAGATCAAAGATTGCCAGAATCAGTACAAGAGAGTTTTCTGCTAATATCATAATGTTGTCTCACTGCTTAATTTTCCTTTGCATTGGAGTGTATGCCAGTTGCAAGCCTACATTCTCACCCATCCTTAAAGAGACACTACACTTCGTAGATAAAATAATGAGAGAGGTATGCTATAACTGTTAAATGAAGCTAGATATTTTTGTCTAAACTCTGATATATGTATTGCATTTTTTAAAAATGTCTGTTTCAATTGTCTAACTTTATTCTGTCCGTTGCAGGGTACAGTGAAATTCAAGAATGAAAGCATGGTAAGAAGATTAAATTTCACTTACTCAAGTTACATCCTCCTCAGCATTCAGTAGAATTTGTTTTTTTGATTTTGAGTTAATGAAATCTATAAATGTATACAAAGTTTGACTGTCAATTTCTGTCTTGTTTGAATCAATGCAATATTGATTGATTGGGAGAACATATATAAAAATTCTGGAAAGTCAAATACATTATTCTCTTTATGGAACTGAAGTTCTGTCTAATCAATAATTAATAATAGGGTAGACTTTGAGGATTTGACAAAAATATTTAAGGAAAAGGAGCTGACTGCAATTCATTCATTCTTTATTCATTCATTCGTTCATTCATTCTTTCCTGAAATATACTTTTAGCACATACATTTTAAAAGAGATGATTGTCAAAGATGATGCTACATAACTTGCAGGCCATATGTAACTTTTGTCCTTGGTTGTCTTATTCCTTTTGTATTATCTAACCTCATTTTGTCATCTTTCATTTGTAGCAATCACTGGAAATCCCAATCACATTAGAGGTAAGAATTAAAACCATCTATCTGTGTATCCCCCACCCCAAAAAAGTTAGATCATGTCAAGTTTGAAGCTGTTATGAGATTTATTTTTAGTATCAAGAGTGATTGGTGAGAAAAATACTGTAGAAAACAGATGGTATAGTGTTAAGGTACAACTAAAAGAAGTGATGCCACCTTTTATTTAAAACGTAAGATATATTTCTGGCAAAGTTAGGTGCTCAATTTAAAAACACTTTTGAGTTATTGAGACCACGGTATCAAACTCATTACATTCATCCAAAAAGTCTAACTCAAAGTGTTGAAAATGACTTGGGGATGTAAATACCAGATGAAATATCATGGGTGGGAGGACCAAGCTCATAGTTTTGACAACTCTGGGAAAAAAATAGTGTACTGTTTTCATGGCATTTGTGAAGTGGGCCGGGGGGGCAGGCAGGGGGCAGTCAAAGTAATCAAGATGGTGGCTGGGAATACATGATTGAAGCCCTGCTCTCTACCCAGGATCCATGTGAAAAAAGGGTGAGCCTGTGATTGCAAGGTTAGGGGTGCCATCTTGAATTATGGCAAGGATGCTCCTGACTATTTACAGAGCACAATATTTTTAAGGATGAGCTGATCCAAGCATGCTGAATTGGTGTTGTAGATATAGAGCCAGTTTATGATTAAGATGTCAAAACTAAATTAAATGCATTGTGTTGTCTTTTACCCACCCATTCATAATTTCTGAATATTATTATTGCCCTCTGAAAGGCAGAACCATTTTAAATGCACTATCATTGGAATGCATCCTTCATTCAAACTACAGTATGATCAATTCATTTGTCACTTTAAATGTCACTTCAAATGTCACTTACACTTAAGAGAAGTGTACACTAAAGAGAAACTTTAATTGAGATGTGAGTGACTATAGTGGCGAACCATTCACCACTTCCTAAGCTTTGTACTTGACAGCTTTACCAGACTTGTGGGATAAAGCATATTCACACTCTAAGACAGAGATCTTTTTTTAACCTGACGTCTGCATTCCCATATAGCTTAATTTTTAGGTCCACATCCCACAGTTATTTGCACAAACTAGGTGGAAAGGATCAAGGCTAAGGTCATTAATGTAATGATATATCCATACATGCAATTTTTTTTTCATATACTTCCAGCCATAATACCCAACTTCAATCATTAATTTGCACACACACAAAACATAATGCCTTTAATATACACTTACATATGCATATTCACAGCAGAAATTCAAACCTATATCAGCATAACACCAACCACATCTCTTATGAGCTCATGCCTCAAGACAAGCTATTGGCTGATTTTATACAACACACTAAATTAGGAGTCATATAATACACCAAGCCACCACTAAGCAGATTGTATTATGTGTAATATATTACGTGAATCCAATCAGAGATGTAAAGCAATGTAAATTGCTTTACATGTAAAGCAACAGCTGGAGAAATAGTTCTTGTGGTAGTTTGCAAAAGTTGTCCTGGTTGGTCTATTAATGGATGAAAGACAATACAATATATAAGATGCCAAATGAAGTCTTGTGCAAGACCAAGAGACGGGGAGAATATTGATTATTTAGAGAGAAATATCCAAGAGGCAATCCAAGAAATGGGTCAGACAATATAGAGCCAGGGTTATTGGTTATTTGTATTTGGCCACATGCACTCTCTCCCTCCCTCCCTCCCTCCCTCCCTCTCTCTCTCTCTCTCTCTCTCTCTCTCTCTCTCTCTCTCTCTCTCACACACACACACACACACACACACACACACACACAACGAAACAACTCATGGCCTTGAAATGGAGATGAGCATCACCCCCTAGGCAATGACCAGCAGAGTAAAATCTGCAGGGATTCCTTTCCTTTCCTCATTTGTAAGACTGTAATTTTCTAGGCAATGCAAGTATACTGAATGGCATCATGTCTTCAAAATTGTAAATACATTTTATTGTAACACATTATTATAGCTTTTAATCTCCAGAGTTCATAGTGCTATAAATTTACAGATGTGCTTTAACCTTTTTTTAAAAAAAATATGCTATCATTTCAGAAAGAATGTGTATTATATAATTTGAACAAATTCATCCAGACTCTGCATTTATTGAAGATTAAAGACCCACAAATACTCCAAGGTCTTAAGGAGCTTGCTGAAATCACCAAAATCTTAACACCACAAAATGTACGTAGAGATGCTTTACTCTGTTTTTGAATAATAACATAAACACTCTTAAATATCGTTGCATGGCACTGCTGTCAGCTTAAATTCTCTGGGGCAAAGGATTGTAAGCTCAATTGCATCAAAGGCAGTGTGACTTTTTGCTGTGACTTAAAGCAGGCATCTGAACAACTACAATTTGTTCTGTGTCCTGAACATGGCTAGTGACTCAGTGCTGACTAACTGTGCTCTGTTTATTAAGGAGCCTCTTTGACATGCCATCGTTATTCTCTCTCTGGCATCTCTTTAAGCAATAACCAGTCTTAACTGCAGTTAATGTAACAATGGAGACTTGGAGCCTTTCCAGGAATTGTCAGGAATCCCTGAAAATGCTACCAAATCACAATTCACATTCTGTTCTGCAGGAATAGGGAGGGCATACATGGGAGTAATTGAAATGTATTATTCTTTGCATGGAAATCATGCATTTAATGCTATTGTTGGACCAGGTTACATTACTAAAACTGCAGATGTATTGTCTTATTTGATCATTTTAGGATCTAGATTCAGATCTTAGGAATCATTTTATCTGTGAAATAGATAATAGTAATGCTTGATAAAAAAAAATAGGCCCTGCTTTTCTTAGATGTAAAAAATAATAAGGCTGGTTATTATATCTATCATCTCTCTCTCTCTCTCTCTCTCTCTCTCTCTCTCTCTCTCTCTCTCTCTCTCTCTCTCTCTCTCTCTCTCTCTCTCTCTCTCACACACACACACACACACACACACACACACCTATCTGTCTGTCTGTCTGTCTATCTATCTATCTATCTATCTATCTATCTATCTATCTATCTATCTATTACCTATCACCTATCTATAATTAGCATCTATATATGTGACAGCTGTCACAAGATCTCAGGGAAACTGTTCCAAATAACTGCTATATTCACATTCCTGGACATTTCAAAATGTCTTTAAGGAATGGAATCTAACACTTTATAAAGCCTTAACATTTATTTTTTATGAGAGTAAAAATGACCATAAAGATCATTTGATTTGACATACAATTGGTATGTCAAGTATACTCATACAAACTGGTTTCCACATCAGGCTAAATCATGGTTCTTAACTGTAGTTCACTATTTTGTGTAATATACCATAATCTTCATCGCAGATCAGAATATCAGTACATTGTACTGATCACATGATATATTGTATTATGTGTAACTACAATGAGGCAGACCAAACCAAACCAATCATTTTCCTGGTTCAGTCCAATAGAGTGAATCCAGCTTCATTTCACCACATGTCTGTGTTTAAAAGCAAATCATGCAAGATACGCACCAGCTCCATAGCTAATAATTACAAAGGAAAACCATGGAGTGTGATGGGACTCATAATGATTGGCAAGCACTTTGCAAGATGCATTCCCAACCTCTTTTTTCATAGGATTCCTTTTGCTTAAGTATCTTAAACCCCATCACCCTCAAAACCCCAGAGTGAAGAGGAGAACACTGTTGCATTCTTGCTTCTGGAAGGAAGAATATAGGAGACTGAAAATCCTGTTTTTTTAAACACAACTTTCTCTTTTTTTTTTTTAATTAAAGGACAATGAGGATTGTGAGATATCAATTATAAGCACCAATAAATTCCTGGAGGAGCTTGGTGACTTCCTACGTGAACTGCCTGAACTTTTGAAAAGCAACTAAGGGACAAAGTATACTGTCCTAAACCATCCAGATCTCCACTCAAAAAACCCTTTCTGGATTATTGTGAAGATAGCCTAGACGTTTGTGAACTTTCAGTAAAATATCTCAAAAAAGGAGGGAGGGGAATCCCATTCTTTGTAAATTAGAATATGAAGCGGTTTTAAAGAACAGATATATGCAAAATTATGGAAACAAATAGTGCAAAGTCCCTGAAATTTACTCCCAGCTTAGTGTTTGGAGGATCGAAGGATTGAAAGCTTAGTTACTACTGAATACTCCTTAGGATGTACTACTGACTAAAGAGGAATTAACTACATGTTTTTCAAATATGTGCACAAATGAATATTATTTATCTATTTATTTATTTAAAGTAATATTAAATTATATGTCTTTTATCATAACATATATACAGTATATTTATTTCTGCTGTGGAAATCCCTTATTTTGCTAATCTTAATGTTTATCTGGTTATTTTGAATAATAACATAACTTTGAAAATGAACACTCTGCGTAAAATCAGATGCTTGCAATATCTACACTGTAACCATGGAGAAGCCTTGTATTGGAACATCTCTGCTATCATTTCTTCTAGTACTTCCTTGGCTTTAGAATCTTTTGTTGTTGTTGTGTTGTTCTGCTTGTTATCTACCATCCAAAGGAAGGAATTAGCCATATTTCTAAAAGACTTTGGAGCTCAAATCCAACATATTTAGAAAGGATCAAGTTGGAGAAGACAAACTAAAGTAAAATGTAAAAGACTGAAGAATGGAAACGGGGAGAGACAATTCCTGCGGAATAACATGTAGACCTCTGGGATCTTATCTAATATTCCTATCTAATATTTCATTTTCAGAGGGAAAGTTTTGAGGGAAAGTTGAGGGAACTTGAGGAAAGATAGAAATTATGAGATGTTCTTTCTCCTGAAAGACAGTGTTACTGTGTCTCATTAAAGAAATAAAAGGCAGCTGCCCCTGTTGCCAGCACTTTGGACAATGGAACCCTGCAGTATAATTTAATTGTAATAAAAATATTGATCGATTGGTGGAGAAGAGATAAGAAATGTGATTTAGGCAAATGTATTTATCTACTGAGGCTGAGGATTTTTTTAAAACTGAAGTTTAAAAAAATCTAGATATGTGATATTATTTATGTTTTATGTATTTATATATTTATTTATATTGTGATGTAAACAGCAGTTTAAAGAGCAAATAAAATATGCTGGAAAGTTTTGTATGTAACTAATTGAATGCCACTGGATTTAAATAAATTATTTTGTACACAGATGAAGCTTTATGTTTGTTTGGGAGACTTTGTTTTATAACATACACAAACACTGACATTTACCCTTTTCCATATTTTGTTCCTTGAAGCATTTTTTTGTGCATTATGTATAGAAAATGGTCTTATGATACCAAATAATAGTTTGAATTCAGGCTATCTTGTAAGGCTTTAACCAGGACTAGATGAATGCAGATTTCCTCCCATTCACGATTTTGTGGCAAAGAAATTCTGGGCTCAAGATCCTCCATAATTTGGTCACTGCTCACCTGCCAAGACAAGTACAGACATTTTAATAGATGCAGCAGACCCAGAAGTCTTATATTCTTATAAGCCTGGATCAGTTCTCTTTAGTTTAGGAACCAGTTTTATGCATAATGCTATTAGTATGCAAAAAAAAGTTGAATGTGCTAGGCAACAGAGTACAAAAGAAAACATTACTGTTTGGATGATGATGATGATAATAATGGTGATGATGATGGTGATAAAACAATTACTGAGGGATAACACAATTGGAGTTTAACCATAGTAAAGATGCTTAGGGGGGCAGTGTGGTGTAGTGGTCAAAGATGTTGGACTATGAATAGGGAGATCCAGAACTATGATATTCTTTTGTGACCTTCACAAAGGTCAGCTGGTCATAGACTAGTCCAGTGGTGGTGAACCTATGGCACGCATGCCAGAGTTGGCATTTGGAGCCCTCTCTGTGGACATGCCTCCCCTTGTGGCCTCCTCCTCACCAGCAGCACCCTGGAGGAGAGTCACCCCTGGGCACGGCCCACACGGAGCAGTGCAGCCAAGGACATGGCAGCGGGGCAGCGGGGCCAAGTCTCCTCCCTTGTGCCCCATCGTGTGCAGTTGATGCTATGGGGCGCAGGTGAAGGGCATAGCCACCATGGTGCTGCTGGGCCGCCTGGGCGATCTGCAGGGGGCTGTGAAGGCGGTAAGTGGCCCTGTGGGTGGGCAGGGAGGTGGGGAGGGGGCAGAATGGTGGGGAGGGGCAGAGCAGGCAGGATGGGAGGGGCTGGTTTTGGGGCACTTGGTCTCTAAAAGGTTCGCCATCACTGGACTAAAGTCACTCTCATTCTTAGACTGGGGGGGCGGGGGTTTTCAAAAGACAAAATGGGAGAAGTTATTGGCAAATCAAAGCTGTTTAAGGCCATCAGCTTTCCAATAAACAAGGGGAAAAGATGCAGGGAAGAAGGAAAATAACCATTTCTTCTCAGAGTTCTATTCTCAATTTCCTCCCAAGGGTTGTGGTTTGCAGTGAACAGTTTTAATTCCTTAGTAGGAGGCAGTAGACATAGGATAGTTCCACAATGGGACTTGGTGGCAATTCAAGAGCAACTCTGGATCCATCTATCTGATCTTACAATTTCAGCTGCTTTGGGAAACAGACAAGCTGACAGACAGAGGGAATTTTTATTTTTATGGTGGAACATTTCCTCTTGTATGACCCCCCCCTTCCCCTTCAGTTTAACATCGGAAGACGTACATCCTCACTGAGGTTTAGCAGGTCATCTTTTGGGCAGAATTGTGTGGGAGAAAGCATGCACGAGGTAAGCATGAAGTCTAATTTATGCACATGGAAAAATAGAGACGTGGCAAAATCTTTAATTGTACATATTTATTATATTTATTTCCTAGTGGTATACTGGAAAATATGGCATGTTACAGTCCCTAAAGACCCACTTAACACATGCAACTCTCTGTGTGGGTGCTGAAACTGCTTGTAATGAAACCACAGCCTTCTTAATTTAATAAAATGTTTGTGCAAAGCAGCTCAACCTCCTGCAGCAGGAACACAATGAACTTTCTATTTTAGGGGACGATAGGTGTGGCAATCTGAGGGCTGAAATTACCTGTACAGCCCAGCCCAGTCTGTGAAAAGCCTTCCTTTTAGATGAAAGTCCACCCAGGGTGTCTCTGAAGACAAAGCTGCATTTGGATCCTTGCAAGAATTAAGAGCTCTTTATTAAGAATTTTGCAAGGCCGATTATTTTAAAGGTGGTGCCTTCAATCTGATATGGGCACATCCTTCCTCATTTCCAGAACATTTTCAGAAGAAAAACAATATTGTATTTATTTCTTCATTGTTATTTGACCTTTATTATTTTTACAAACAACTCAAGGCAGCGAACATACCTGATACTCCTTCCTCTTCCTATTTTCTCCCACAACAACAACCCTGTGAGGTGGGTTGGGCTGAGAGGCAGTGACTGGCCCCAAATCACCCAGCTGGCTTTCATGCCTAAGGTGGAACTAGAACTCACAGTCCCCTGCTCTCTAGCTGCTAAACTAAACTAGCTCTCAATCTAGTATCAACAATATAGTGTTAGGGGAAACTCATTATGTATTTTTTGAAAACATTACTGTAGTATTATATTCATGTATGAAGTTGCAATATACTAGAGCAGGGGTAGGCAACCTTGGCTCTTTTATGACTCATGGACTTCAACTCCCAGAATTCCTGAGCCAGCATGGCTCAGCTTGGAAACCTCTCCCTTTCCCCTCAGCATGGCTGGCTCAGGAATTCTGGGAGTTGAAGTCCATGAGTCATAAAAGAGCCAAGGTTGCCTACCCCTGGCCTAGAGCATTGATACTCTGTGGTAGTCTTCACATAACACCATTACCTAGGGCTTACTTAATCATGGATGCCTTATTCATGGTTTATTTGCGTATCTGAATTTTCTAACCTAACATAGCATGCTGCACCACAAATGAAGCAAATGGTGGTTAATTGGTAGTTGGAAATTTGCAAGGCTGTGAATCTTGCAAATACACCTGGTAGCATCAGCACTAATGTTGCTGAGCATGCACAGGAAAACTAAGCTTAAAAGGTGGTTGGTTTGGTTTTGGTTTAGCTTTGTGGGCTATTGAATAGAGCATGGTTGAATGAGCATGGCTTATCTCAACATGTAAACACATGTCAGATGGAATTTTTCTTTATGATCCTAGCAAGAGTTATTTTCAGTCTCACCTGGCAGTAATGGGTTTGTTTCCTGTTGAGCTCCTGTTCCTTTCTACTATTCTCTTGGATTGTCTCTACAAAAAAGCGCTTAGATATGCAACGCTCTTGGAGCGCTTCAGAGTTCATAAACAATTTTTCCCTTCCACAGCTTGCAAAAACATCTGTCAGGAAACAAGCTATTTTAGAAGAGGTATTTTTTCAGTGTGGTTTCTATGCAGCTATTTCGTTTCATACCAGTGGTTTGATTTTATCTTGGTCTAGGAAATTAGAAGCAAAAAAAGGAAAAAGCTTGTTCAGAATGTTAGCAACTCTACCCCTATCTAGACATAAGCCCCCACTCCGACCCCCAAAAAGTCAGGGAGGAAAAACTTCAGAGGAGCTTAACTTTTAAATTCTTATGAATCAGTTTGTGCTACTGCTGTTCTTTTCTCTGACAATGCAATGCAAAAGTTTCTATTATTATTTTCAAATCATACAAGTTTACCATTCTTTTTTTTGGGTGAATGGAGTTGTTATGACTATGCACAAGTGGATTCTTTTATCTTCAAGTGGTAACTATAGGCCTCTTCATTCTGTCCCAGCCCTTGTCAAATTTAAAAATTTAAAATTTGAAAACTAGGAAAGAAATTGATTGAGAACCAGTTTGGTTTAGTGGTTAAGGCTCCAGCCTAAAACCAGGATACTGTGAGATCCAGTGAATGAAAGCCAGCTGGGTGATGTAGGGACAGTCAATCTTTCCACAACATCAGATTCAAGCGACAAGATGGTCTGTCAATTCCTATTGCAATCAATAGATCAACATTTAGTTGAAACAAAAGAGGATCCTGCACTTGTGGGGAAAAATGCTAGGAATTTAAAATGTCAGTAGTACAGGAGGAAATCAATAGAGCTGACAATGAGTGAACTTCTGCAAATCAGACTAACTCCAGAGCAAGCAAGTCCCAGAGTCTCAAGACACATTTTAATTAAATGTAGAGTTGCCTGACATTGAAATGGGTAGCATATAAATTTAATAATAATTATTAATCAATCAATCAATAATGTTCAAGATTTCAGTGAAAAATAGTTTATTGCAATAATGCCACTAAAAGGCAGAAGCTATCTGCTTCTTTGTATAGATAAGCAGGAGAGCGAGTTTGGTCAAGTGCAGAGGTAGGCAACTTTGGCTCTTTTATGACTCTGGCTCAGGAATTCTGGGAGTTGAAGTCCACGAGTCATAAAAGAGCCAAGGTTGCCTACCCCTGGTCTAGTGGTTAAGATAACAACAACCCTGTGAGACGAGTTGAGCTGAGAGAGAGTGATTGGCCTAAGGTCACCCAGTCAGCTTCCATGGCTAAGGCCAGAGTAAAATATTCTCCTGGTTTCTACCTTGATTCCTTAACTAGACCAAACTGGCTCTCCTACTTATCTATACAAAGAAGTGAATAGCTTCTGCCTTTTAAGATCAACCATCCACAGTAAAGGAACTAGCAGTCAAGAACTGCACAACAGAGTAGCCCTTAGTAGAGCAGCTATGAAGGCCTTGGAAAAGATATTCAGATACCTTGATGTGTCTATATACCTACAAAGATCAGAATAGGTACAAGCAGTAGCATTCCCCATGACGCTCTATGAAAACAAAAGTTGCTCTTTGAAGAAGCAGGATAACAAGAATATTGATGCATTTGAACTTTGGTGTTGAAGAAAAGACCTAAGAATACTATGGACGGTTAAGAAAACAAACAAATGGATCATTGAACGAATCAAAGCAGAATTCTCAGTTAAGGCACAAATAACAAGATTCAAATCTTCCTACTCTGGACGCATTAAGCAAAGTCCCAGATCTCTAGAGAAGGTTATTATGTTGAGAAAGATGGAAGGATAGAGAAGAAGAGGATAACCAGCAGCAAGATAGATAAAGTTAGTCACAGTAGTGATGAGTGTAGTGCTGGAAGAGCTGAAGGACCAAGTTAGGAATAAATCATCAGAAGACACATCAAGACTTCTATGTGCTCATTAAGAGTTGACAACTGTTTAACGGTGAGTAATCATCTTCTAAAATAATTTTCAAGTTATGATCTATTTTTTCATAAATTATATTATAGTTTTCTTATCTAATTTAAATTTGAATAATTCCTTTAACTGGATCTCTGATCATGCTTTCACCTTCATTTGTCTTCATGGCCAAACAGAATGCAATACATAGGATTTGCTTAATAGAATCTTTTTCTTTAACAATTTTTGTTCAAAAGAGTTACTGGATCAGGGAATACATTGGTCTGCTCTGTATGCAGCCAAAGAAGAAGTCTATCAAGACTACCACATTACTGGGACTAGTGCTATTGCATGGCTACTCAATAGCAGAAATCTGCAATATGCTCTTTTAGCTGGCAAATATTGGGAAGCAGATTCTATTTAGAACAAACTAGAGAGAATAAGGTCCCAAGCCATTTATATGTGATAACCAGCACTTTTATTTGAGCCCAAAGCCAGCGACTAGCTGTATCCACTGAGGTCCCACAGTATAGATGTCACCCTGCTGTACTCACTATCACTACAGAAGGAACAGTAAGTAGCTAGTTTTGTTCTGCATAAACTGTAGCTTTCAAACCATCTTCCTAGGGCAGGGGTAGGCAACCTTGGCTGTTTTATGACTCGTGGACTTCAACTCCCAGAATTCCTGAGCCAGCCATGCTGAAGTCCACGAGTCATAAAAGAGCCAAGATTGCCTACCCCTGTCCTAGGGCAACCCTCACAAAGTGAACTGCAGTAATCTAAATGGGAGATGACAAAGGCATGACTCGCTATAATCAGATCCACCATGACTCACTATAATCAGATCCACCAAAAAGGATCACAACTGGCAAATCAGTGAAATCTAGTAAAATCATGACCTCCACTTGCAGCTACAGCATGATCTATGAGTCCATGCAGACAACCAAGAAGATGATCTTGGAGATATACATTTCTGTTACCAAAGTAACAAGGACTGAAACCTATCTTAAGACCACAACAGGGAGAAAATGTTGGAAGTGGCTCTGATAAAAACCTCCCCAATTGATAGAAGGAAGGGGTAAGTAAGTACCACACAAGCAGACTTGCAAAAGTCTGTTGTTATTGATATCTATCCCTATCTATCTCTATCTCTAATCTATGTTTTACACACACACACACACACACACAGTCCTCCAGCTGCTCAGACTGGATTTATCCACCTATCGAGTCCTTCCCAAGGACCTGGGATAGTCAGATGCTGATGTTTGACAGTGTTACAGATATTGCTGCGGGATGTTCCAAGTAAAGCTGCCTTTATTACTATAAACTTGCCAGAGTCAAGTTTTTGTGAGATAGCTAATTAAATAAATACACCCAATAAAAATTAATTTAGTTTCTGTGGAGTTGATTTCCCGATTAAATCTTCTGATAGTCCAAAAGGACTTCCCAGTTGTATACCTGCTCTTGATGAGATTCATTCTATGTCTGTTCTGTTGCATTCTGATCCTCATAGCTTCCAAGCACTCAAATCTCCACCTTATCCCTAGGTGTGGCTTACAGACATACAGCATACTATGGATGGCCCTACATACATTGGTGTATGTAGGTAACTGAGATCGGTAGTCTTTTCAGACACGTTGTGTTGTGGCGTGAAAACTGCACAGCATCACATTTATACAATTTGTTAAACAATGCAAATCAAGATATGTATTTTAATGTTCTAAGATTTGTATATAGAAGTAGTCCTCAACCTACGGCCACAATTGAGCCTAAAATTTATGTTACTAAGTGAGAAATTTGTTACGTGGGTTTTGACCCATTTTACAACTTTTTTTGCCACATTTGTTAAGTGAATCACTGCAGTTGTTAAATTAATAACACACGTTAACTGAATCTGGTTTCTCCATTGACTCTGCTTGTCAGAAGGTCACAAAAGGTGATCACATGACCCTGGGACACTGCAACCATCATAAATGTGAGTCAGTTGCCAAGCATCTGAATTTTGATCATGTGACCATAGGGAAGCTGCTATGGTCATAAGGGTGAAAAATGATCGTAAGTCACTTTTTCTCAATGTTGCTATGACTTTGAACAATCACTAAATGAACTGTTGTAAGTCAAGGACTACCTGTATGTATATGCAGACATAATCAGGGAATATTATAAATCAGTGATTCTCAACCTTTCTAATGCCGTGACCCCATAATACAGTTCCCCATGTTCTGGTGACCCCCAAGTGGGTTTGGCCACCAATAAGAGGGAGTAGGACAGCTAGGGAAAAGGGAAAAAAATGGCAGACAGCATGGTTTGGCGACCCCCGTGAAATGGTCATTCGACCCCAAATGGGGTCCCGACCCACAGGTTGAGAACCACTGTTATAAATGATCTGGTGCCCACAAACATTCCATTTCCATCCTGACCACGTATATGCAACTTTAAATATGTGACCTTTGGTTATGAATAAAGGAGGAAAAAAGAAGAGTGAAGTAGATTTCCTGATAATGAAAAATACTTTTTACTCATAGTCACACATTTGCATGGTTTGCAGAGATGAGTACAACACTGGTGTGTAATTGCTACCTTAGAAAATTCATTTCACAAAATGAAATTTCCATCCATCAAAAATTCCTAAGCTCAACATCCAGATCTTCAACAAAACTTTCTCTTAGCTATGATAAATATTCTGTGGTTAACAACTTTGTTTCTCTAAACCCACAAAATGTTCCTTTGCTTTCATACATCACTTAATAACTAATTTTAACCTTCTGCTTGCCTATTAGCCCAAACTCTAAAAGCTATTGCAGCTGGAATACAATTAACACCTACTTACAAGATATCCTAATAACACTTGGTCGCTTCAAATTCAGAAGGGAGAGGATTACAGGAAAATGTTTTGAGCATAGTAATTATAGAAGAACATTAGAAGGCATCATTCAGACCTTCCAGGCTTTGTTGAGTACTGGAATTCAAATTAAATCAATGGAGATCTTAATTTGCATCTACTTTAACAGATCCAGGGCAATACAACATCTCAGGATAATTATTCCACTGGCAAATATTTTGTCAGTATTTGCCTTCTTGTAACTTCCATTATATGAAATAAATGATAGGAACGTATAAAACCACAGAAGCAACATAGATGCCCTGTCTTTTAATATGACCACAGCTATGGTTTAAATGCATTCATGCCACATCATATACTGGAAGAAAAACAAGCAAACATACCTGGTAATCATTGTTGAGATGTCAAGACAAATGCAGCTCCTCTAATGACTACTTCTTTTGATAAATTAAACACACTTTTGCATGACTGGGTTCAACTACCTGATGGTCAAAAACAGGTGAAAAAAACCAATGTGATGAATTACTAAGTAAAACCCGTCGACTACAAATTGGGAGATAAAATTGTGGCCTGAAAAGGAAGTGACAGGAAAGAGAAAGATGTCAGTAAGCAGTCATTGTTACTTTTTGCTGTTTCCTGCCCCCTGCTCTTAACAAATGAAGTGTGACCAAAGCGCCTGGGCCCATCACACCAAGGACACTCTGTGAATTCTGCTTCCTTGTAAATTCCTTTACTCTATAAGCACATGCAATACTATGGCCAGCATTAATTTCTAAATGATATTCCCACATTTGTTAACATGGGGAGGGGGATACTGGGGTAGTGGCCTCAGGAATTACTCTTAGGTGCTCAGTTCAAATTTTGACAGCATTTGAACTTAGCAGTGTACTTTGTGAAACTAGTTAACTGTCCTTGCTAGAAATTCTGGAAGTTATAACTCTGTACAGGTGGAAGGTAAAAAATTAGTGAAAAGTGTGAGTTATATGTACTGTATATCTCAACATTTGCAGAGCAATGCTAGTGCAATGTTGATAACAGAAATTGATGCACAGGAAGAGGAGGCTGACAAATATTATAGTCAAGCTCAGTTTGAAACTGACAGGATTTGGAAGCAAGATCTGCACTTGTAGCTTGAAGACTGGAATGCCAAAGAATAAAGGAGTAAGGTGAAAAAAGGAGTTGGACTGTGCAGGCCAGGAGACAGAACTGAAACATTCCACCACAAGACCTATATACATGGACATCAGCAGATGGACTACAAAAAAAAATCAAATTGACTATATTATTGACAAAAGGATATGGAAGAACAGGACTGTAATAGCAAAGCCACTTTGCAAGAGAGTAAAAAAAAATATCAGGAAACATATTCCTTTCATTCTGAAAAATATTAAAGAATCTACCTATTGGGATATACCGGCAATAAAGAGTTATTTCTATTACCAAACAACAGGAAGCAACTACCTTGTGGGAATAGACACATCTCTAATAGAAAAGAGAATATACGTAACTCAGAGTTGAACCAGGCAGTCCTTGATGTTTCCTAAGGTTGGTGGTTTGCTTGCAAATATGTTTCATTAACCAACTAGGTAACATCATCAGTGCACTTTAGAGGCCATCAAGGACTCCACAGATGTATCTCTAGCATGCCATGCAGCACCTCAATATAACTAGCCATAGCATGCTCCCTCTCAGCAGTGATGGTCATTCAGATCATGTTCTTCGCAATGACTTTTTTTTGGGGGAGGGGGTCCTGAATATAAAGGGGAAGAACAGAAATCAGCAACATAACAACTACCCAGCTTCATTTTAGTTTTACATTTTCACATTACAGAAAAAGCCGCCTAGAAGATTGTAATGTTTATTTTACTTACTATTTTACAAAATCTCATCTCTATAGAACATGGCTACAGACTCATTGCTCTCCTTGTCCTGGACATGACCTTAGTTTATGATTTCAGAAATATATGCTCCAGATTCTTGGAACTGAAATATCTGAATTTACATTATTAGAGCCATGTGGCTTTATTCACATCAGTACATCTGAGGTAAAATATAAAAGCAAACAAAAAAAATCAAAAGAGGCTGTCTAAAGAACTTAGTATTTTTCATCTGATGATGGCTACAACTTTCATTAATCAACCAACATTGTTCATGTTGGCTAGGGATGATGGGTATTATCTGACATATCTAATAGTTCTAGTTTGGAGAAGACAGAAAAAATAGCACTGGGAAGAAAAAGATAAAACCTCTTTTGGTCAAGAACAATTCCATGATTATAATATTACATTGGTTTGCCATGACTTTGTTCTGAAATATTAGATACTAGCAATAGCAATAGCACTTAGACTTATATACCGCCCCATAGTGCTTTATAGTACTCTCTGAGCAGTCTACAATGTCAGCATGTTGCCCCCAGATTGCTGTGTCCTTATTTTACCAACTTCAGAAGGATGGAAGACTCAGTCCACCTTGCACCCTGTCAGGATGAAATTCCAGACTGTGGGCAGAGTCAGACTGCAATACTGCATTCTAACCACTGCACCCCAGTCTGCCCCCATTTTTAAGATCAGTTAAGATCATCTCTCTCTCTCTCTCTCTCTCTCTCTCTCTCTCTCTCTCTCACACACACACACACAATCAACAATACCTTGAGTGTGTAGAAGCAGTCCTTAAACTATTGATATAATTTGGAATATGGTGGACTTTGCATTTAAAAGATCTGTGGAGTGTGCAACTTTATCTTGAAAAATGTATTATGGAGTTGAAAAAGTTTCAAGAAAAGGCAACCAAATGATTCAAGAAGGATCTTTCTTATTGTGAAACTAACATTCCTGGGACTGTTTAGTTGAAGAAAAAGAGCCACCAGACAGTTAAGAGGGCTGAATGAAAAGTAATGCCTCCAATGTTATAAATTACCAATGGATGCTGGTACTGACCTGCTAGAAATCCTGATGTATTTCATTTAGTGAGAAGTTGTTTTGAGAAAAGGTTTTGTTGCTATTGTTTATGAAATTGAAGCTAGCAGTGTGCTTGGCAATGCACTTTTGACTGCTGAAAAGCTCTTGCAAACAGAAATGAATATAGGTTGATTATGTGATGATTGCATTTATGTGAATATTGTGCATTGTCAAAACTGTAAAGATGGTGAACTGTGATTTATGCCATAAAGAAGGAGGTGGAGGATCTTAGAGAGTAATCAAGGAGTTTTACGTGATAAAAGCTGAAGAACTGATTAAGAGAAATCAGCAGATCATTCAAAGAGAAATTACTGCCAAGTTTAGCATTTTATAGGAACACATTTTTAATCATCTTTAATATTGGAATATTGTGCAATATGATTTTTTTATATGCTGACAGCAGAGATGAAAATTTAAAAGATTTGAAATTTGCTAGCAATTGTTATCATGCTACAAAAATGAAAGTGAGGTCTTTCTTCATAAAACCAGAACAGCAGATAAAACATGGATTCATCATTAGAGCAACAAAAATGATTAGGGGACTGGAGGTTAAAACATATAAGGAAAGGTTGATGGAATTGGGTATGTCTAGTTTAATGAAGAGAAGGACGAGGGGGGGACATGAAAGCAGTGTTCCAATATCTCAGGGGCTGCCACAAAGAAGAGGGAGTCAAGCTATTTTACAAAGCGCCTGAAGGCAGGACAAGAAGCAACGGATGGAAACTAATCAAGGAGAGAAGCAACCTAGAACTAAGGAGAAACTTCCTGATAGTTAGAACAATTAACCAGTGGAACAACCTGCCTCCAGAAGTGGTGAATGCTCCAATACCGGACGTTTTTAAGAAGAAACTGGACAGCCATTTGTCCGAAATGATATAGGGTTACCTGCCTGAGCAGGGGGTTGGACTTGATGACCTCCAAGGTCCCTTCCAACATTATCATTATTATTATTAGGATCATCGCACAGTCAGCCAGATGTTCAAACTGGATTTGGCATTTTGTCTACCTATCAAGTCCTTACCCAGGACGTGGGATAGGCAAATGTGGATGTTTGATGGTATTACAGGTATCGTCGCAGGATGGAAGCAGTTCCTAGTAAGGCTGCCTTTTGCAATTGACTAATAGCGAATTTGTCAATGCCAATGGTGTTCAAGTGATGCTCCAGTTGTTTTGGGATTGCACTCAAGGAGCCTATGACTATTGGTACTACCCTTGCTTGCTTTTGCCACAGTCTTTCTATTTCTATTGGTAGGTCTTTGCATTTTGTTATCTTCTCCAGTTCTTTCTCGTCTATTTTGCTATCTCCAGGCACTGCCACGTCCACTATCCAGACTTTTTTGTCTTTCTTATCGACAATTGTTAAGTCTGGGGTGTTATGTTGCAGGTGCTTGTCTGTTTGAATTCTGAAGTCCCAGAGCAGTTTAATTTTATCATTTTCTATGACTTTCTCTATTTTATGATCCCACCAGTTTTTGCTTACAGGCAAATGATATTTTTTGCAGATCTTCCAATGCACCATTGTTGCTACTTTGTCATGCCGCTGCTTGTAATCAGTCTGTGCAATCTTCTTGCAACAGCTTATCAAGTGGTCCACTGTTTCTTCAGCTTCTTTGCATAGGCGGCACTTACTGTCTGTTGCTGTCTTCTCAATTTTGACTTTGTATGCATTTGTCCTTAAGGCTTGGTCTTGTGCAGCCAGAATTAGTCCCTCGGTCTCTTTCTTCAATTTTCCTGCTCTTAGCCATTGCCAGGTTTTATTATTATCTGCTTTCCCAGCTATTTTTTTTAATGTATTGGCCATGTAGTGCTTTGTCTTCCCATGCCTCTATTCTGTTCTTCATTTGGTCTTTCTTGTAGGCCACTTTGGTCTCTCCAGTAGTCAGTAAGTCTTCCTGATATACTAATTTCAGTGCATCTTCATCATTGTTCTTCAGATATTCTTCCAAAGCCATTATTATTATTATCGATCATCGCATAGTCAGCCAGATGTTCAGACTGGATTTGGCATTTTGTCTACCTATCGAGTCCTTACCCAGGACCTGGGATAGGCAGATGTGGATGTTTGATGGTATTACAGATATCGTCGCAGGATGGAAGCAGTTCCTAATAAGGCCGCCTTTTGCAATTGACTAATAGCGAATTTGTCAATGCCAATGGTGTTCAAGTGGTGCTCCAGTTGTTTTGGGATTGCACCCAAGGAGCCTATGACTATTGGTACTACCCTTGCTTGCTTTTGCCACAGTCTTTCTATTTCTATTTGTAGGTCTTTGTATTTTGTTATCTTCTCCAGTTCTTTCTCTTCTATTCTGCTGTCTCCAGGCACTGCCACGTCCACTATCCAGACTTTTTTGTCTTTCTTATCGACAATTGTTAAGTCTGGGGTGTTATGTTGCAGGTGCTTGTCTGTTTGAATTCTGAAGTCCCAGAGCAGTTTAATTTTATCATTTTCTATGACTTTCTCTATTTTATGATCCCACCAGTTTTTGCTTACAGGCAAATGATATTTTTTGCAGATCTTCCAATGCACCATTGTTGCTACTTTGTCATGCCGCTGCTTGTAATCAGTCTGTGCAATCTTCTTGCAACAGCTTACCAAGTGGTCCACTGTTTCTTCAGCTTCTTTGCATAGGCGGCACTTACTGTCTGTTGCTGTCTTCTCAATTTTGACTTTGTATGCATTTGTCCTTAAGGCTTGGTCTTGTGCAGCCAGAATTAGTCCCTCGGTCTCTTTCTTCAATTTTCCTGCTCTTAGCCATTGCCAGGTTTTATTGTTATCTGCTTTCCCAGCTATTTTTTTCATGTATCGGCCATGTAGTGCTTTGTCTTCCCATGCCTCTATTCTGTT